GCAAGCACCTATGCAAATAATATTTGATGATTGGAATTAATATTGATGCCTAAGAGTTTTTTTCGGGTTGGCTGCCTTGGCTTTCTTGATCCTTTTGGCTGGGTTTGCTTGGTTACCTTTGGTGATTCTGGTTGGTTGTTATTTGGATCATTGACTATTTTTTGTTCTCTAAGGCCTCTTGGATGGTTGGCTAATGATTGTTATTTTGTTCAATGAATGGTTGACTTTATTTGCCCTTCGTTATTTTTAGCTGTACTTAATCCTTGATTTTGTAAGAATAACTTGTTAAATCTTGGAGGTGCATAGGTTTTATTTGGTGAACATGAAATAAGGATTATATCTTCATATTCTGGAGTTCTTTGTTTATTTTTATATTTTCTTAAGGTTTTGCAAGAGGCAATGATGACATTTTATTCTAATTGTGCAAGTGCAAGTTCTGCACATAGATAGAAGATTAAAATTAGTAGTCATCTACTATGCTTGGAAGGCAAGCACCTATGCAAATAATATTTGATGATTGGAGTTAATATTGATGCCTAAGAGTTTTTTTTCTCTCTCCAAGTTTTCTATGAATGGAAAGCCTCATAGTATAAAATATGAAATGAGTAATAATTGTTAAATCTAAGCCACATTTTTAATTAAAATACATCAAAGTTTATCATCTGGCTTTTTTAACTTCATTATTGTTTTGACCTTTTTTTTTTTCATTTTATATAAAATGTGCAGATTGTACGAGTTTACAAACGTATTATGCAAAGTTCTTTGGCTTGTTAAATTGTAGATTTTACAAGAAGAAGATAATGATTTTCATAATTTTTGTCTTTTTTTTTTTAAGTTTGAAGATGTAGATTTGTAAAATGTAATGTAAGTGTAATAAATTAGTATGTTATCAATACTAGTTCTTCTACATTGTTTTCCTTAAAATTTTCTAAATTTTTTTCCCATTGGGAATTTGTTATTGTGATCAACTTAATAAGCCAAAACATTTTCTATGTAGTACATGTTCATTTATAATTGTAAATCTGTCATATTTTTCTCTGATTTCAAAAAATTAGCACACAATTAGTCCTTAAAAAAAGTAATACATACATGAAGATGTAAATGCATTATCTTAAATGTTTAAAAGAATAATAATTTTTTTCCTCTCTAAAGTTTTTTAAGCAATTATTTTTTCAACCAAAATTTTTTATTTTTAAATAAATTTAAATTAATTTTTTATAAACTTTTTTATTCTAAAGAGTTTAAAATGTGTAAAACACAAGTCGAACAAAAACACTAAAAAGTTAACAAGATGAACATGACAAAGTGTTCACAAGCTGACTCGAACACGAGTCAGACATGAACAATGCTATTTTTAAATGAACCGAACATGAGCCAAGCCCGACCTCGCTCAATTTTGACTCGTTTACACCCCTACAGACCCCTAACCATAATGAAGATGAATATAGATAATATTTCAGATCAAAATGAAATAACCGTTCCATAAAGTGTGTTTGAATAGTGCTCATGTCAGCCTCTTAGGCAAAATTTGTGCGAAGTTCTTCAATTATATATAAAAAAAAATTATATCACCTCTCTTCTTTCACTTTAAAAATTACTCTCATAAGGAGAAACAAAGAGGCTAAAAAATCTTTAGTCTACCTCAGCCGACCACTTAGCCGACTGAAGAAACTCTAGAAAATCCTTTCAAAGGAATGCAAGCAAGCTCTCGCTATCTTCTTCCAGTCTCACCTTCCCTCGTAGGAAGAATAAATGTACATTGTAGTTCAAGTCTAGGAACATAAATTTAACATTTTCAGTAAGATCTTTTAAAATTCCATTATTGCAACTTTGTAGGACCAATGACCATGATTTAATCTAGGTCTTATGCTTTATTTTCTTTATAAAACCCATAGTCATTTGCTCTTCAATGTCATTCATTGCTTTTATGATTACTTTTACATTAAGGTTGCATAACTCTTCATAAATCACTTTGCACTTCACTCCATATATTTTAAAAATAAAAATATATAGGAAGCAAATTTTGCCTTTATCATTTATATCTTGATTGAGGATTATGCTAGCAATATATTTTGATCCTTCGTGAGACACAATCTCTTGTTATTTTTTCTTTTATTTTTGTGGTATTATTGTGGTGTCGTTGTACTCGTCCCTTATTAGAGAGAACATGTTAGTTATTATACTTCTCTTTGGCTAAAGATGTTTGTCAATTTATGTAAGAATCATAAACAAAAGTACCTCAAAAATATTGTGATAAAAAACATATAGATGCATTCTATAAAATTATAATTGCACCAACAATATTTTATGAATCTAATATTTATATTAAATAAAAGGGAACAAAAATATTAATATAAATCAAAGACAATTAAAATTAAAAACATTTATTATTGCAAAGTGGTAATAAAAAAAATAAACATGATTGAAGGGGATGATCTACAATAGCAGCAATAAAAAGGCATTAATTAGATAAGTAATGCAGTTAATGTTAAGATGATTAAAAGAAACATAATATAATGATGTGAATTATATATATATATATATATATATATTATCTCATCTATATCTTTATCTTTCATATAACAAAATCAAGATATTAAACTTACATAATCTTCTATTTATATTTCATAATTAACAAAATCAAAACATATATCTTTTAAATATTTCCTTCGCATCCTTTACATTTATCTCAATATTGCCTCATCAATTAAAATTGTCATTTGAAAACTTAAGAAGAAGAAAAAGCATAAATCATCATAACACACTCTACAACATCTTCTATAAACCACTGCATAATCAACAAGTAAATTAACAAGTCATTTAGTCAATAACTATGCCTAGTTTAGTTCACTGATACAAAGTTCCCAAAGTCCAAGCAGAAGCTGCTGCAATGCAGCACAGAAAGCTGTTCACAAAATTAAAAACACATTTGGAAAAAGCACACAAACCTCAAAAGAACATTTTGCTGAAGCTTATAGAGCACAATTAGGAGGAAGGAGAGCAAGAGGCACTTTACTTCTTCTCTGAGTTGCTTCCCAATTCTTTTCTCAATTGGAGGGAGAAATCATCATTGACATCATCATCATCCCAATCATCTTCCCACTGCTGCAGGACTTCCTTTCCTTCTTCCTTATCATCCCACTCTGTAAATTAATAATGTTATATGCTGAACTCCAAAATGTGAAACAAATATAAAGCTCGGTGAGACATACAAGTAATCATTATTTTCCGAAGATGCGGAAAATGAGCAATCTTGATCCTAACAGCTGATCACAAGAAGAAAAATGAAGTTCGATACCGGGAGAAACCAAAACAAGGGTGGTGGAGCCAGCGAGAAAGGATGTGCGTGTGGGGCTGTGTGCATGTGTGAGTCTCAGAGAGAGAGAGAGAGAGAGAGAGAGAGAGAGAGAGAGAGAGAGAGAGAGAGAGAGAGAGAGAGAGAGAGAGAGAAATGCTGCCATTGTTTTTTAGGCAAAAACTAGCATTGGGGATATTTCATGAAGTTTTAAGCCAAAAAAAAATAAAGGCGGCAAAGTAAGGGTCCTCTTCTTCATACAAAGAACACCAATGAAATGTGCCAAATGCAGTGGGTCTACTGGATTATAAAAATTTACAATAAATTTTCTTAAAAGTCGCTTTTTGGTGCTAGCTAGAATAAGAGTGAAAGAATGATCGCAATGGATGAAGCAGAAGCTATTCAATATGCTAGTGTTTTCTAGGGGCTTTAGTTTTAACTATCAGAGGATATGTGTACGCTAACCTATATTTTCATAGGAGCACAAAGCCTTAAAGTACTTAGGTGAAGCCATCACCAATTAATAAGGGTCAATATTCAGTCGGTTTGGATGGATCGATTTTCAAATTACTCAAACCGATTGCAGCCAAAACCCAAAATTTGAAAATTAAAAAACCAAACCAATTAACATTTTGATAAACCAAACTGACTGAACAAAAATTTACTTTGATTTATGAAGAAAATTAAATTTAATTATTAGTTAGAGTTCGGTCATGAAAAATCATTACGAATTACATATCTATACACATATAATATTAATCTTCTATATATTTTATCAAATATTGCATATAATATAAACTTTATTTTTTTCAGTTAATTTCACATTAAATTAAAATAAAATAAAAAATTTTAATTAAAATTCAGTTTTCAGTTTGTTTGGTTAAACAAAAATTAAAACCGAACCAAATCAAACGAACTTGTTAGGTTTGGTTTTGTTTTTTTATATTTTTTTTGTTTATTTTGACCAAATAAATGACACCCATACCGATTATGATTGGCTAGATAATGTATGTGCTGAAGATCAAGTTATTGAAAAGTGTAGGCTAAAGATTCTCTACAAATCCACTTCAGAATGCGATTAGCTTGAAATAAAATAAGATGACACTCAAGCTGAGAAAAAAACACAATGATAGTGCACGTGTGAAGAGACAAGGAGCTGAACTTGCTGTTATACTAGGCGTCCCCTCTCAATCTCATAGAGTGGACTCAGTTTGACGAATATAGAGCAATGCTTGGATTGTATGACTTCTGTAGTAGATGGTAAGGATAGAATGCCATCAAATTTTGGGCGCGGCGCTTATGTTCAAGTGCCAAACATGACAAGCAATGCTAATTTATGAGCTGCAGCATCTGGATAGAATCAACAAGATGAAGTTGGGAGATGTTTACATTCTTGGTTGCATCTGAAGAAAATGGGCATGCCGTCATTTATGATCAGTTCACATGCTAATTTTAAAAGATGTAGATGAATGCTACAATCCCGAAGAATAAATGGTCGGAAGATGTGTGTTAAAGGTCATAATACTAGCCTAGATTTCTATTTTTTTTTTAAGACCAATGCTTTAAAATTTGTTTCAATGTAGCATGAAATACTTGTTTCCCTTAAAATCTTCATCAAAATGGAAAAGATAGTCAGCATGAAATACTTTTCTTTGGAAATTATGCGTTTATGAGACCTATACGTGGCAAAGGCTGATTTCATGTTTTATACTAATTTTTGAGATTTGACGCTCAAATATATCATAACAAAGAATGCAAAAAAATTATAGGTTGCCTGCTGCAGCGTAAGGATACTGTGCTCAAATCTGCAGCCAAAAGCTGTAAGGTAGCATTTATACATGCGTTGCAGAACTTTTACTTGTCTCAAGAAATTGGAGAGAGCAAGCAGCTTATTCTAGGGGAGTCTCTACGAGCTACAACCACTTTGACAAGGACCAACGTGCGGGACTCTGAAAAAGCTCAAATGCTTGAGTCAAGCCATCTCACTCTTTTGCAGTTAATGAAAGATAAAGTATAACATGAAGTTCTTGATGGAAAATTGGGATAGGATGTTAAAGATTTCTCCAAGATGGAATAGGAGCTGACTAAGGTTTATTTTAGATCTGGGAAATTGAGATTTTCTATGGATGCAAACTTCCATGATTGATTACATCTCAAACCTAACCTCAAAGAATACTCTCGATTAAGTATATCAATGTGCTTTGTAAGATAGCTATGAGTTCTAAATTATGAAAAGAATAGATGGGATGAATAGTCAACCCAATCAAGATTCTAAATCTATTATCTTTTGTCCATCTAATACCTGCTCGACCAATGAAGGAACGCCAAGGGGACACCAACATCTAGGTTGTATTATTAGCAGTTATGGATTGCCTTCTCAACAGGTCATAGAGTGAAACTATACCGAATGGTATCCATCCACTTGCAATGAGATCTAGAAATTCAAATTTGAATTGAGAAAGCATCAATGGATACCAATATACGGTAGTGGCCGAGAGGAGTTAGCGCAACGACTATTTGCTCTCATAACTAGGCTTGAATATTTAAATTGAATGGGATCAAGATCACAAAAACTATTGAGAGTAGGGTTATAAAAAAAGCTCATTGTTCGTGCCCAGCTTGGGTTCGTTAAATAGTTTGTGTTTGATTCGTTCGTTAAGCAAGTGAGCACAAACAAATTTGTTAAGCTCTATTTGTAAACAAGTCGAATACTAACAAAGATTTGTTTGTTCGTTTTCAGCTCATTTTGGCTCGAATAATTAAATAATAATATTTATTTATATAATTTTTATATTAATTTGTTATAAGTACTAAAAAGAGACTAAATTTTTTTATCTTTAAAACTTTGGGTGATATATTATTAAAAAAAAAAGTTTAAGGTGTTTGATATGTAAATAAATAAGATTTGAATGGTATGTATGTAAATGTTCTAAAATAGAGGAGCCACATTCTGTTACTCTAATTTAGGGTTAGATAAGTAAATGCATAAGAATTGGGTGGTATGTATGTAAATACTTCAAGCTTTATAACATTTTTACAAAAAAAAAAAAAAAAAAAAAAAAAAAAATCTTTGCTCCCGCATGTGTTCTAGTCCCACATCGGAAGTCTAGAAATATACTTTTCTCATTTCTGTTTAATATAGAAATGAAGCCCTCTTAGAGAGCTTAAGGCTGTGAAGGCAGATGGGCGGCGCGATTTTATCTTGAGTAGAAAAACGAGCTAGTTCAAATAAATTCAAGTTGAACATGAACATGCTATTCTCAAGTCATTTAGAACATGAGCCGAATACAAGGAAAACAAAAAAAAAAAAAGAGATCACACAAACAAGCCTTGAGCTTGCTTAAGCTCAACTCATTTATAAGCCTAATTGAGAGTAGAAATCGTAAATTTAAGTGGTCCATAGGTGAATTCTTAATCAACTTTGAGAGGAGAATACTCTATAAACATATGACTTGGTATAGCTCGAGTTTAAAAAAGTTACACTTTGAGTTCATGATTCATATTAGACATTTGACTTGAGGCAATTCTAGATCGCCCATCCCTTAGTATTTAGGTGTGATTAAATTACATGGAAAATTATCTTATCATATCATAGTGGTGGGCCTCAAGGAGCCTCAAGTTAACCTAATTTATAGGTTGGAGTTGGGCTAACTCAAATAAGTTACTCGAGCATGAGCAGAGTGGTTATTTAATCTAGTGAGAGCGATGATCAAACAAGCAAACATCTCAATGTTAAAAAGGCGAGGATATTAAACTTCATACAAGGAAAGCAAAAGTGTGGATCACAGTAGAATAGATATGTTGTTTTGATACTGGTAAGCTAGAGCAAGCCCAAGGCTTACAAGCTTGATCCTAGGAAAGATAGAGATAAAGACTACAGGATGTGAACTAGCTCTTAAATGTTTAATTTGACTTAAAAATGGTTTGACATGCATTTTATCGAGGTTTAGGGCTTAAAAATTTTTAAAGATGCTTGAGGCACAAGGCTTGTAACCTTGAGTGTTAAGGGAAGCACAAGTACAAATTTTACTAATTTGATGTTGAAGTAGCATATGAGGGGATCTACAAACTCTTTGTTGAAGCAAAAACCAAGGATGGGTCTAGCAACCTCGACTTATAGGCAATGCAACCTACAAATGAGACTTACAACCTCTCAATTAGAAGAAATTTCAACCATATGGTCTCTCCTTACAGGTAAAATGATGCACAAATAGGGCTCTAAATCTCTGATTTAGAGGAAAGCCCATCGATAGGCCATATGACCTCCCCTATAGGCAGTGCAAACTAAGTTCAATAAATTTTAATAAAGGAAATTGAAAGCCCTGTGCAAATGAATAGACAAGAATTTTTCAAACCCATGTCATTGGGTCTCAATACAATATGCAAGTTAGCATGCCACATTCGGTGTTTGTGAGCCCTTGTAATTAGGTGTCTCCTTTCATTGCTCTGTAAGGATATCTATCAGGCAACATGCAGCATATCATTTGAAAACCTTGCCAAATTTGTTGAGCTAATTTTAAAGTGTTCATTGTGTTATTCTGATTATTTGTTTGTGGCCTCTATGTATGTATAAAGAACCCAAGAGGCGTGTCACAAAACACTCATGTATTCACATAAGATTTTACATGTATTTTGAGTTGGCCTAACTGTGAGTTGGCCCACCTGAATAAAACAATGATTACATATCCTTTGTTAACCCGTACATAAGCCCTCCCTTAGATTCCAATAATTTCTTTGGAACTTATTGATTTTAAGTGAGTTTGTGGTGCCAAGGGCACCTTAGGGTAATCTAGTAATTTTATCATGCTATGGAATTGCCTTCTGTTAAACCACAAAAAGAGAGTATCT